CCTTGTCTTATAATTCATTTGAACGAGTCTTTCCTATAAATGCGTGATCTCCTCGTCAGCAGTTTCTTGTTGTGCTTCAACTGCGGCGCTCCATTTTGTTAGCTCGTCGACCTGAACGCCACTTTCCAGTTTCGCTTGCTCGATTTTTGTTTTTACACTTTCGACCTTTTTCACGACTGCTCGCAGAGCATCCCGATGCCGTTCTATTCCTTTCTGGACGATTGCTTTGGTCTTCCCTTGGGTAAACTTGAGTAGCTTTAGTTGCACATCCAAATCCGAGGTCAACGCCTCCATCGTTGTGTTGTTCACTGCAAAAACTAAGTTCTTACTTTAAGTGAAAAAATTAACCCGCATTAAGAGCAATGGCACCTCTTAGTTAGGTCCCTCAGGTAAGGGAGCTTCTTTCTTAAACCAAGGGCCTTATCTGGGTTTTGTACACTCAAAATGAGATGCACAACAAACTTAGTATAAGGTTAATGGAAGCCTTGATTTAAGGGATTGTAATTCTTTAAAGAAGGCAATTCAAACTTATATTAATAGCATTGTAGTTCTTGTTTTAAAAACATATATGTTCAGTTTAAGGGCATAGTGCTTTTGAAATCGAGAGTTTTAAAATCTCATATTAAGCCCTATATATTTCTCGTTAGAAGGGGTATAAGCATCAAAGCAAGAGAATGTTTCCCCGATATTAGTGCAATTAAGTTTCTTACTGCAAGGGTATATTGGTCTCAAATCAAGAGTTTTTACATCTCATGTTAAGTCTTATACATTCCTTGTTACAAGGGGGTATAAGCATCAAAGTAAGGGAATATTCCTCTGATATTGGTGCAATCAACTTTCTTATTGCAAGGGTACAAAATGTATATTGGCCTCAAATCAAGAGTTTGTAGTGTAAATTATTTCTTGTTCCGAGGCACACAGTCATCACATTAAGTAATACAGAACTAACTGTAGGTGCAATGAAGGTTATCACTTTAAGGGTACATTGAGCTGAAATCAAGGGATTTTTTTAATTTATGTGCTTCTAGTAAGGTTTCAAGTTACTCTGTAGCAACTTGGCCTTGTGGTTCCTCATTTCAGGCAAGACTAATACTTCTGCCAACATGTAGTTAAACATTTATTAGGTAGAGAGGACGGCTATAACTCAAGATCAATATCAAGCACTGGCTCTCTTTTTAATCCTCATATGCATGAATAGTACATTTGCTATGCACATACATTTTTTGACTTCATATTAACTTGATAGTCTCAACCATAAAAGGCCTCACACTCGGTGAAAGTAGTTACCGGTAAACAACAACATCAAAGACTCATGTTCTTAGCATGATCACATGTCCATCTAGGCACTGTCATTCTCTGCAGACTTACTGGCCTGCTTTTTCACTGCTGCAAAGATGTGGATGCTTTTTCGAGTTCTGCCTGTTATTCTCCATGACATCATTGATGAAAGTCACAAGCCCTTTGAAGTATTTCAGCTACTTATGAAGATATCCAGTCTACTGCTGGCTCCAGTATTAAGCTGTGAATCTGTCTCATTACTACAGAGAACGACTGCTAAATTTCTGACAAATTTTAAGAATGTTTTCCATAAGCAGATAACTCCAAAAATGCATTACGTGGTCCACTGTCCAAGACTTATACTACTATGTGGACCTTTAGTTAGGCTTTGGAACATGCGATTTGAGGCAAAGCACAAGGATTTTAAAAGAATTGCAAAAAATGCAAGTTTTTAAAACATATCCCTTTCACTTGCAAAGAGTGAACAACGATCAATGATGGCAAAGTTTGCTAACCCAGATAGCCATGGCCTATTCAATAACCTAGCAAAAGGGCCCTTGACACCCCTCACAGGGGAAAAGTATAATTTTGCCAAACAACAGTTTTGCCTGATTTATCAAGTTTCTGATGAATTGATTGTTAACATTTGCGACTGTAAATGGATAACTCTTTATGGCACAAAGTACATCCCTAATGAGTGTAGTTTATTGTTACGAGCAGAAAATGAGAAGCCTGTCTTTGGTGATCTTTGGTGATCTTCTTGGTATTTGGATAGTAAATGGTACCGATGTAATTTTTAGAGTTGCTGAACTTGAAACAGTTACCTTCAGTGATACTCTTAATTCATATGAAATTGACAAACTAGGACAGGCCATGTCTGCATTGTACATTACCCCTGACAGCCTTCTAAGCCATGAAGTACTGCACAAGTGGGAACTTGATCAAAAAATGTACATTAACACTAAGTATGATGTGACTGACTTATGTGATTCACTGTAACTGTTACCTACATGTAGTTTGTTATTTGAGTTGGAATGACTTTGTTGTTAATGTATGGTTTTACAGTGTTTGCTACTCTAACCAAGGCCACCAGACAATAGTTTCTGCGAATTGTGGAGGTTTACAATAGTTTTCTAGCAAACTATCCAAAATGACCACAAATCTGTTGCCTTTAATTTGTAATGTACAACTTGATTACAAGGATAATTGGTTGGAAAACTATTGTTAAACTCCACCATTTTTATTTGCTAAATCTGTGGAACATTTTATTGGGCGGCCTTGGTAACAACACTGTGAATTTCTCAAGCAAAACTTCTCTTGAAGGTCATTGTTGGGTTGTGGAGTTGAAATGACTGTCATTAAAGATTTAAATTTTGAAAGGTTACTCTGAATATTACACCTTGAAAAACTTGATTTACCTTAAGGGAATTACTTACTACAATTAAAAACAGGTTTAATAGTAATCACTCAATTTAGGGCTATGAATATATCATCACCCTTTTTGAGGACCTTTTATTTCTATATTCTTTTTCTAAGGGAGTAACAATTGCTTTAAGGGTCATAATGAGAAATGTACCTTTATTTGAGTAACACATATATGATATTCTCTTAATTTAAGTATAATTTAAACAGCCTAACACTTTTTCTAAGGCAAATTAGATTATGCTCTTTTTATAACAAGGTTACACACCTTGCCACAAGTATTCAAACCCTTACTTTAATTATTCTTAACCTTATTTCAAAGTAATATCCCTTTCTACAAGTGATTAAGGAACTGTTGCTTCTTAAATCAAGAGTCCTAATTTTTGCATTTTCTTAATTTAAGTGTAATTTAAACAGCCTAACACTTTTTCTAAGTTGAATTAGATAATGCTCTGTTGATAATAAGGTTACATACCTCTCCACAAGTCTTGAAACCCTTACTTTAATTGTTCTAAACCTTATTTCAAGGTAATATTCCTCTTTATAACTGAGTAAGGAAATGTTCCTTCTCAAATCGAGAGTCCTATTTTTTGCAGTGTTTGAGCTTCTTGGCTGATTCTCTTGTTTTGTTTCGTTGTTTCTCGCTCAGTCCCGTCGGAGGTGCCACTTTTTGTTGGGAATTAGATAATTGCCTGACAACACAATGTTTTTCCCGATAAACTCGCGCTAGAATCACTCACTCACGATAGAATTTTAAACAGATATATTTGTGTCTCACGATGTCCCGATTACGATTACAACACACTCTTCGATTTCTAGAACGAAGGATACAGCAAATTGTACAATGTGTTCTTTGATTGGCTTAAGTTACTAGCGATGACAGATTCAATGCCTATCCCTTTCCGGTCAACTAAACAATTCTATACGCATTAAAATGTTTTGATTACGTAAACACACGATTTCCGACAAGATATTGATGGGAATGATATAGGTCCATACCTAGTTGGAGATAGTGCTTATCCGCCAACACCCTGGCTCATAAAGCCATTTCCAGAGGGAACAAATGATCCCGATGAAAAACCTTCAACAAAGAGCTAAGCAGGGCAAGAGTTGTTGTAGAGCGTGCCTTTGGAATTTTAAAGGGACGTTGGAGAGTGCTACAAAAACGCCTAGACAGCACCCTCAATTTTGCCATCAAGATTACTATTGCATGCATTGTTCTTCATAATTTTTGTATAGAAGCTAACGATTACTGGGATGATGACGACGACGATGGCCCACCCTACAACGATGGAAACAATAATGTAGTTGCTGGAGATGCCGATGAAATAAGGGGTGCACTAAAGGACTTTGTCTGCGGCAACGTATAGATAGCTCAAAAACAGTTTATTTTTTATTTGATTTACAAAATTAAAAAGTTAAGTATGATTGTACTTCTGTCTATTTTTTCAAACTCGATCGCCACTTGTCTCGTGATTTCTGATGCTTAATAACACGAAACTTTGATATTCCATTATGCTAAAATGTGCCCAATCATTCAAACATGTCGCTATAATCAGTTTATTTTGAATCGTTTCATGGAATCATCTGATATTTGAAAATAAAACTCACTGTACTTTAAAATAATAATGATCATATAACGTATCAATGTGTAATGACAAGAAATCACTGCATTAAATCGCATTTTAACAGTAACAAAATAATAGTTTGTGTGTTCAATTCATTATTCAGACAGTTCATTCAGTTCATTCCTTTTTATTATTTTCCATATACTTATTAAAACAGCCAACAAGTTGGGACATGAGCTGAATTTGCTGTCCTTGCGAATCTTGCATCCGCTCCATAAAACTAGCCATTTGTTCCCCTTTAGTGGCAAGCTTTTTGATGGCCTCGCCAATTGTATCATCTTCGCTGTCGCTGTCGTGCACGCGAGCAGGCCGCTTTTGACCCTTTACTTTTTTTCTTTCGCGTCTTCTTGCCACTGAACTACCAGCGGTTGTAGGGGTGGTGCGACCAGCCGAACTGGAACTGCTCGACGCTTCAGCAGCACTTGTTTCTGGACTATTTGCCGAGCTTCCACTGTTTTCTGCGGCCTGCGTGCCAGCTTGCTCCACGTTGTTACACGTGATGATATCACGGCAGCCAAGGACAGAATCAATTATGTCGTAATGAGGACTTTTGCGCAAATTTCCCCCACTTTGCCGACGATTCCAGTCCTTCTTTTCTTTGTACTGGTTCTTCAAATGCTTAACTTTGCGCTGGCACTGGTCGACGTTTTTCTTTAGGCCTTGTCTTTCGTT